GGACAGGAAGGCCTGGAGGAGATCAACCCCGACTGCTCTTTAGAAGGCCAGATCCTGAAGTGGAAACTCAAGTCCTTTGGCCACCTCATGAGAAGGAAGGACTCCCTGGAGAAGAGCCTCATGCTGGGAAAGATGGAGGGCAAGAGAAGAAGGGGACAATGACAGAGAATGAGGTGGCTGGATGGAGTCACTGGAGCAGCAGACGTGAGCTTCAATGGACTCCAGAAGATGGGAGAGGACAGGAAGTCCTGGAGGAACGTTGTCCATGGGGTCACCATGGGTCGGACACAACTTTGCAACTAACAACAATTGCACACAAGTGGCACGTACAGGTGTGATAGAGAGGGACGCTGGATTGAAAAGGGGGCAGTAAATTCTTTGGGACAGAGAAGATAGCTTACAGACAGAAGGGAATATTTCTATCTGTGGTGGAACTGTGGGAGATAATTATTTTTTTCCCCAGTTCGAACTGGGGTAACAAACTGAGTTCTGTGAGTGACCTCGTGGAGCTTGGCTCTTTTCTTGCAGATGTTTCATGACCGAACTACATAATCTCATCAGTGCTAGAAGGGAGAGGAGTTTGTGGAGAAGAGGAGGAGGAGGAGGGGGAGGAGGAGGAGGAGGAGGAGGACACCAAAGACTGTGGAGTTCTTGATGCTCTCTGAACTTGGTGATTTTCTTGTGGAAGTTTCATGATCCAACTGTGTAACTTCCACAGTGCTGGGGGGTGTTCCCTAGTTGGGTAATGAGACGTCTGCAAGAAAACCACCAAGTGCAGGGAGCATTAAGGACCCCCCCAGTTCTCTTCTTCTTCTCCTCTCTCTGCCAACCCCACTCCCTTCTAACACTGAGGATGTTACCTAGCTGAGTAGTGAAGTATCTGCAAGAAAACTGCCCAGTTCAGAGAGCACCAACTGCCTCAGAGAAGCCGGTTTGTTAACAAGTCCCCAGTTCAAACTGGGAAAAAAAATATCCTTGCAAAAATATCCTTGGCAGTCCAAGGATTTCCCAGAGGAAAGGCAGCGCAAGCATCTGTGACCTCCAGCTGTTATCTACTCAAGAGATAAGCCCCAGCTACACTTGCTCAGTCCTTCCACACAGCTGGTGAGGCATAGTGCAAAGGTTGTTGCCAACACAAAAAGAACCAGCAAGACTCCTGCTTTTGCGCCTCTTCGGCGTGGTGTGGAGTCACAAACCAAGCTTTGTTTTATTCGCAAAAGCTGATCAACTCTTATTTTAGCTGTTGACCCAGTGAATGAAAACATCCTTGGCTATCACTGGAGGTTTTTAAGAAGGGATTGGACAGCTGCTTGTCTGAAATGGTATATAGGGTATTCTGCTTGAGCAAGGGGTTGGACTAGAGGACCTCCAGGGTCCCTCTCACAACGGTGTTGTTCTATAATTCTATTAGAAAGAAACTGTTTTGCATCTCTAAGGGGACTGCAATTGCTAGGTGGAGGATTTCACGGGCACCCTCTAACAGGAGAGAAGCGCTACTAAATGCAGGTGAGTCACCCTTTAGAAGATTACAAAGGTGTGTAAAGCACACCTCAGCCATTGGCTGAGGAGGTTCTGGTGATCGGAGTGGAACAGCTTCTCCTCCTCCTCCTCCTCCTCCTCCTCCTCGAGGCAGGATGAGGGGCCAGGAAGAACCCTCACAATTATTGCCACACAATAACTGGCTTTCAACATTTTCTCCACTTAACAGACCAAGACCAAGAGGTGTTTGGAACCCAGAACATAGGGCTGGAAGGGACCTTGGAAGTCTTCTAGTCCAACCCCCTACTCAAAGCAGAAGACCGTANCTCCTCCTCCTCCTCCTCCTCGAGGCAGGATGAGGGGCCAGGAAGAACCCTCACAATTATTGCCACACAATAACTGGCTTTCAACATTTTCTCCACTTAACAGACCAAGACCAAGAGGTGTTTGGAACCCAGAACATAGGGCTGGAAGGGACCTTGGAAGTCTTCTAGTCCAACCCCCTACTCAAAGCAGAAGACCGTACACCATTTCAGACAGGTGGCTGTCCAATTTCTTGTTAAAAAACCTCCAGTGATGGAGCACTCACAACTTCTGGTGGCAAGCTGTTCCACTGGTTGATTCTTCTCACTGCCAGGAAGTTTCTCCTTAGTTCCGGGTTGCTTCTCTCCTTGGTTAGTTTCCACCTGTTACTTCTTGTCCTGCCTTCAGGCGCTTTGGGGAATAAAATTTCCCTGTGACAGTATTGGAAGATGCTATCATGGCTGGCTCAGGAATTCTGGGAGTTGAAATCCAAAATCCACAGGTCATAAAGTTGTCAAGAGTTGCAGGACCCCTGCGCTCCCATTATTTCACCCATCTAATCTCACCTTCCCTCGCTTCCTTTCTCTCCCTAATTAGGCAAAATGGGCAGATTTCAAGTTTAATAAACAAACACATACATACATACATACATACATACATAATCAGGATAGCTAATTGTGCCTTAGAACCCCACAGCAAGATGTCCTCGACTTAAAACAGTTCATTTAGCAACTGTTCAAACTCACAACGTCATTGTAAACGTGACCAACAACGGGGTCCTCATGCTTACGACCGTCACAGCATCCATAGAGTCATGCGGGCAAAATTTGGGCGCCTGGCAACTGGCGTGTATTTATGACAGCCGTTGGTCATCTTGCAGGCCGGCTTCTGACAACCAAAGGAAGCAGGACCTGCTTAACGACCGCCTCGCTTAGCAACGGAAATTCTAGTCTCGATTGTGGTCATACGCTGAGGACTGCCTGTGTTGTGGAGGACTTCACTGGCTTCTTGGGACAGGTGCGACAACCGATAAGAACTTTCTAGAATAGCCTGGAACTCTCCCGCAAGTTATGTTTTTATTATTTCACGGTTTTATGTTTTCAAATGATTTAACATTTTGGTGGCAGCCTTTTGTTTTCCTTTCTAAGCTGCCAGGAGTCACAACAGTGAGAAATAAACACAAGCAATACATTACAGGTAGTCCTCACCTAACAACGGTTCATTTAGTGACCGTTCAAAGCTACAACGGCACTGCAGGACCGTTTTTCACACTTGTGACCATCGCAGCCTCCCTGCGGCCACGTGATCAAAATTCAGAAGCTGGGCCACCGACTCGTATTTATGACGGTCGCAGCGTCCCAGGGTCACATGATCCCCTTTTGCGACCTTCGAATAGAATATCTTGTCATTGTGTAACTCACAAGGGAATTAAGACCTTCCGACGAGCAAAGTCAATGGGGGAGCCAGATTCATTTAACGACCGTGTAAGTAACTTAACCACCGCAGTGATTCATTTAACGACCGTAGCAACGAATGTCATTAAAAGGGGGCAAAACTCACTTAACCATCTGGCTTAGCAATAGAACGTTTGAGCTTAGTTGTGGTTGTTAAGTCAAACAGCATGGCTGATATAAACACACCACACACACACGATATTAAGACTCGCTCACAACGTCCATCATCCCCGTCGCTTCTTTTAAACCAGCGTCGCCCTCCATGGCCTTGGGGACCCAACTGGAAGCTCCAGGGCAAAGTTTCAATTTCTTTACATTTATGGGGTTCAATGTATAGGCTGCCCTTTGCCCCGACAGGTGACTCTGGGCGGCCCAAGAAGGGAAGGGAGAAGTCAGGCAGGTGGAGCCTCTTTCCCCGGTTGAACTCCTGCCTGAATCAAAGCTCCAGGTCAGGCTGGGAAATGAATTCACGCCTGGGAATGCACAGTGAGAATCACAGCAGGACGGTGTTTCTCAAGCTTGGCACGGCATTAGATCCTTTGGCAGGGACGGTGGAACTGCCCGCCACAAGAGCCCAGCTAAGTCCAGATTGGGACAGTTTTGCTGGCTGGGGAACGCTGGGAGTTGAAGTCCAGTCCTCTTCAAGCTGTCAAACTCGAGAGACGCTGCATTAGACCCTCGGTGGTATTCTCCCTTGGCAGGGACCGCGGAACTCCCCGCCACAAGAGCCCAGGAGGGAGGATTTGGACAACTTTGTTGGGAACGCTGGGAGTTGGCGTCCAGTCCCATAGGGGAGATAGGGCGGTATATAAATTCAATAAATAATAATAATAAAGCTGTCAAACTCGAGAGACGCTGCATTAGACCCTCGGCGGCATCGTCCCTTGACAGGGAACTGTGGAACTCCCCGACACAAGAGCCCAGCTAAGTCCCGATCGGGGAGGACGACTCGCTCGAGAGACCCCCCCCAAGGGACTTTTCCAGGGGTGCTTGGCCCTAGATGCGGGGGTCTCTTTCGGGGGAAGCCCCCCCCCAGAGCGGCTCCCAGGTAGACTGTCCCTGGCGCTGGAGGCTCTAGCCAGCTGACCGGAGGCCGGGCTCGGCGGGAGGCCTGCCCTGCAGGGCTGTTGGGGAAGGGGACCGGCCCTCTTCCCGCTCCTCCTCTCCCCTCTCCCGCCTCCCCGACCGACCCCCCGCCGGCGACCCACCTCCTCGGCGCCGGGCTCCAGCGGCGCCCCCACCACCTCCACTTCCACCACCGCCATCTTGCCCCCGCCTCGCCGCCAGCTCGCTTCCGCCGACGCCCGCCAATCACCGCCCTCGGATCCCGCTCGGCCAATCGCGACCTCCAGAGGCGGCGGCGGGGGGCGGGCGGTTGTCAGGGAGCGTCGAGCAAGTGCCGCACTCCCCTCCGGACGGAACCATTGCAAAGGCGCGGGGGAGGCGGGCCGCGGAGCGGGGACTGAGGGGGGGTTCCTCCGGTAACATGCCGCGGCTCGGCAGATCCGGGCTCCGGAGGGAGCGGCGGCTTTCGACGCCGCTTCCAGGGAAGAGATTTTGGGAGACGCTCCCCGGAGCGAGTGGAGAGAACTACGCCTCCCGGCATTCCCGGCGGCCTCGAGCGGGGCGGATCTATTGGCGGACGGGGACGATGACGTCAGAGAGCGAGCGGGGCGTCGGCCTATCCGGGGCGGGGGGAGGGGCCAAGTCGGGGTTGGCGGGAAAAGCGAAGCCGCGGCTGGGGGCGATGGGTGTTGTAGTCCGATGGCGCCGCTGAAGATCTGCTGCGTGGTCTCCTTCTCCTCGCAGGTGACGCGGCCTCCCGTCCGGGGGCTCTCCGGGGCGGGGAGGGCTCGGGCGAGCGGCTTGGTCGTCGGGATGCGGCCGAGCCCGACACGCGTCTGCTCCGGGGCCCGACACGCGTCTCATGGGAGCCTCGTAGCGCTGAACGGGAAGGGCGGCCTGGTCCTGACAGCCCTGGGGCGAGGGTCCCCGAGACCCCACCGGCCGCCCTTTAGGGGGAAATCGGGGGGGGGGGGAGGCGGCTAAATGAATGGCCGTAAGTCGAGGACTGCCTGTAATACAGAGATCGGCTCAGTGGTTCGGGTTTGTGGGCCACGCAACATGGGCTTTGTAGTTCAGGTCGTCCTCGGCTTACGACCACAACTGAGCCCCAAATCTCTGTTGCTCAGCGAGATGGTTGTTAAGTGAAGTTTGCTCCACTTTACGACCTTTCTTGCCAGAGTTGTTAAGCGAATCACTGCAGTTGTTAAGTGAACCCGGCTTCCCCATTGACTTTGCTCAGGGGTCTTCCAACTTGGCCCTTTGATGACTTGTGGACTTCAACTCCCAGAATTCCTCAGCCAGCGTGCCTAGCTGAGGAATTCTGGGAGTTGAAGTCCAGGGGGGTCTTCAAACTTGGCCCTTGTATGACTTGTGGACTTCAACTCCCAGCGACGCTGGCTGAGGAATTCTGGGAGTTGAAGTCCACAAGTCATACAAGGGCCAAGTTTGAAGACCCCTGGTCTTTGCTTGACAGATGGTCGCAAAAGGGGATCACGTGACCCAGCAACCGTCATAAATACGAGTCAGTTGCCCAGCAAGTTCGATCACGTGACCGTGGAGGTGCTGCAATGGTCGTAGGGCTGAAAAAAGGTCATAACTCGCTTTTCCCCAGTGCTGTTGTAACTTTGAACGGTCACTAAACGGACTGTTGTAAATCGAGGACTCCCTGTATTGTTAAACTTGCTAACTAACGTGGCTATTTTGCATCTCAATTGGGTTTATTTTTCTCTCTTAAAATGAGGATGCGGGTTTGTCAAACCGTTGCAGAGTGGGATGTAGAAAATGGCTGCACAGATTGATTGACGAACTTCTGACATTCCTAAATGGAAAAGATAAAAACTGGTTTTTGGGATGTCCGGAGTTTGTCTTCTCGTTAGCACTAATTGGTACCTGGCTTGTCTCTTGGTGAAACCCCCTCCCAGACAACCTTATGACTTTATTCCCACATTAACACCTTAAATTTTACGCCCCTCTTTCACCGGACCTCAATTAAATGGAGACACATGTAACATGTTTGTCTTTACATGTAGCTGGTTTACTACGCAAAGCAGGGATTGCTTTTATCCTGTCCAATCAACTTCGCCATTTTCTTTGATGCGAGAACTATAAAAGGGAAAATGTAAGCTTTTAAATGAGAGCGAATCCTTTTTGATCAGAGCGTTCTGCATAAATTGCAATTAAGTGATCTTCCTGCCTCGGAGCCTTATTGGAGCCTGGGCCCTATTTCACTAAGACAGGGGTAGGCAACCTTGGCTCTTTTATGACTCCTGGACTTCAACTCCCAGAATTCCTGAGCTAGCATGGGGGAACTATGGCCCCTTCGTGACTCGTGGACTTCAACTCCCAGAATTCCTCAGCCAGCATGGGGCAACTATGGCCCCTTCGTGACTCGTGGACTTCAACTCCCAGAATTCCTCAGCCAGCATGCGGGAACTATGGCCCCTTCATGACTCGTGGACTTCAACTCCCAGAATTCCTCAGCCAGCATGGGGCAACTATGGCCCCTTCATGACTTACGGACTTCAACTCCCAGAATTCCTCAGCCAGCATGGGGGGAACTATGGCCCCTTCATGACTCGTGGACTTCAACTCCCAGAATTCCTGAGCCATCATGGAGGAAACTTTGGCCCCTTCATGACTCGCAGACTTCAACTCCCAGAATTCCTCAGCCAGCCTGGCTCAGCTTGGAAACCTCTCCCTTTCCCCTCAGCACGGCTGGCTCAGGAATTCTGGGAGTTGAAGTCCACGAGTCATAAAAGAGCCACGGTTGCCCACCCCTGGACTAAGAGCTTCCTTGCGCCTGACATGCCTTGAGTATCGACGTTAAACCTTAATTAAATGCTTTCCTCTGATTCCCCCTTTTCTGGGCCAGGACCCGAAATATCCCGTGGAGAACCTCTTGCTGGAAGAGGGGCTCCGGCCCTGGCTCTGCTGCCCCTCGGACCACAGCCGGCAGCTGAGGGCCGAGTTGCAACTGGAGCAGGCCGGTTGCATTGGCTACATCGATGTAGGTAAGCCCGGTGTGTGTGTGTGTGTGTGTGTGTGTGTGAGCGGGATCTGAAATGCTTTTGGGGGGGGAGCAGTAAAAGGTTTGTGTTCCAGAGCATGGAGGGAGAGATACCAGCTAAGAAATTTATTTATTTGTAAAAATTTATTGGCTGCCCATCTTACTTATAATCTTAAAAGCAAACTATATCAAAAGCTAAAAGACATAAATAAAAAGCTGTGAGGATCCAGTTCGTAGTGATTTAGACCACGGGTAGTCAACCTTGGCTCTTTTATGACTCGTGGATTTCAACTCCCAGAATTCCTGAGCCAGCTAAGTATTAATACCACTTTACAATGCCTTAGTAAGGCCACACTTGGAATCCTGCATCCAGTTTTGGTCACCACGATGTAAAAAAGATGTTGAGACTCTAGAAAGAGTGCAGAGAAGAGCAACAAAGATGATTAGGGGACTGGAGGCTAAAACATATAAGGAACGGTTGCTGGAATTGGGGATGTCTGGTTTAACGAAGAGAAGGACGAGGGGGGACGTGATAGCCGTGTTCCAATATCTCAGGGGCTGCCCCAAAGAAGAGGCAGTCAATCTATTCTCCAAAGCCCCTGAAGGCAGGACAAGAAGCAACGGGTGGAAACTAACCAAAGAGAGAAGCAACCTAGAACTAAGGAGAAACTTCCTGACAGTTAGAACAATTAACCAGTGGAACCACCTGCCTCCAGAAGTGGTGAATGCTCCAACACTGGAAGTTTTTAAGAAGAGACTGGACAGCCATTTGTCCGAAATGGTGTAGGATTCCTGCCTGGGCAGGGGGTTGGACTCGATGACCTACAAGGTCCCTTCCAACTTTATTATTATTATTATTATTATTATTATTATTATTATTATTATTATTATTATTATTATTAAGTCCACGAGTCATAAAAGAGCCAAGGTTGACTACCCCTGATTTAGACTCTCCTAAAGAGTTGCCTGCTTGGCCGTGTGCCGTAACCGGGGCCCAGCGGAAGCGAGAGGGGGGGCCTTTCTGGTGGGGGCTTCCCCGGGAGAGTAAGAGGCTGCCCTGTCTTGCCCCCCCCCCAGGGAACTCGGGCTCCGCTTTCCTCCAGATCGAGGTGGGCCGCTCCTCCTGGCCTCCTGGCCGCGATTATCTCACGCTGCTGCCCACCGCCACCTTGATGATGCCAGTGGATGCCAAGCTGGACCAGAACCGCTCCGGGGTCCGGATGTTTAAAGAAGGTAAAGGAGAGGCGGTCGCCGGCCTGCCTTGGGCAGGGGGCTGGACTAGAGGACCTCCCAGGCCCCTTCCAGCCCAGGTTTTGGAGCTGGGCTTGCGAGAGTCGGCTTTGTTGTGTCGCGCAGGGGACCTGCTGGCTTCGGCTCTGGCGGAGAAGTGGGACCGAGTGCGGGTCACCTGCAGCCAGCCCTTCAACAGGCACGCCCAGTTCGGCCTCGCCTTCCTTCGCATCCGCACCCCGCAGGATACGGAGGGCAGCCCGGGGGAGCCAGCAGCCCCCTCCCCTTGTCAGGTACGGCTTCGCCTGGGTTCAGAGGGGCAGCTCCATCGGGGGGTATCCCTCCCGGGCAACTTTCAGACTTGTGGACTTCAAGTCCCAGAATTCTCCAGCCATCTCCCATCCCCCAGTTGTAAATTTGAGGATTTTCCTGTAGGGTTCATTTAGTGACCGTTCGAAGTTACGACAGCACTGAAAAAGAGTGACTTATGACCATTTTTCACACTTACGACCGCTGCAGCCTCCCCGGGGTCACGCGATTGAAATTCGGATACTCGGCAACTGACTCGTATTTATGACGGTCGCCGTGTCCCGGGGGGGGTCACGTGATCCACTTTTGCGGCCAGCAAAGTCAATGGGGAGAGACCAGATTCGCTTAACGGCCATGTTACTAATCAACTGCAGTGATTCGCTTAGCAGTGGCAGGAAAAGTTGTAAAATGGGGGAAGATTCACATAGACCAGGGGTGGGGAAACTTGGTTCTTTTATGACGCGTGGACTTCAACTCCCAGAATTCCTGAGCCAGCCGTGCTGAGGGGAAAGGGAGAGGTTTCCAAGCTGAGCCATGCTGGCTCAGGAATTCTGGGAGTTGAAGTCCGCGAGTCATGAAGGGGCCATAATTCTCCCATGCTGGCTGAGGAATTCTGGGAGTTGAAGTCCACGAGTCATGAGGGGGGCATAGTTCTCCCATGCTGGCTGAGGAATTCTGGGAGTTGAAGTTCAGGAGTCATGAGGGGGGCATAGTTCTCCCATGCTGGCTGAGGAATTCTGGGAGTTGAAGTCCACGAGTCATGAGGGGGCCATATTTCCCCCATGCTGGCTGAGGAATTCTGGGAGTTGAAGTCCACGAGTCATGAGGGGGCCATATTTCCCCCATGCTGGCTGAGGAATTCTGGGAGTTGAAGTCCACGAGTCATGAGGGGGCCATATTTCCCCCATGCTGGCTGAGGAATTCTGGGAGTTGAAGTCCACAAGTCATAAAAGGGCCAAGGTTGCCTACCCCTGACATAGATGTCTTGCTTAGCAACAGAAATGTTGGATTCAATGGTGGTCGTAAGCCGAGGACTATTGCCCACGAATGAATAATGAACAAGGATATTCAGTCCTTGTTCTTTGCCTTCATTTCAAGGCCTGCCTCTTCCAAATAAATTCCTCCCTCTGTATCCCTCTTAGGCTTCTCCGGGGTCTTCCCCCAGGCCAGGGGTCTCCAGTGGAGCTTTTGGCGGGAGCCTTTCCCCGGCAGGACCAACGTAAGTACCCAGCTTTGCCGTGGGCAGCTCTGGCTCCTTGGCGGTCATTTATTTATTTGAAACGTTAATAATGTTAAAACTATAAAAACCCACCTGATTAAGACATGAAGAGCAGCAAAGACCTGGTTCTCACGGGCATCTTATCTGTCACGAAGGGGTGAAACTGTCCCTTCGTCAGCGCCCTGAAATCCTGGCGCTTCCCCCGCTGGGTGTGGAGAAGAACCCGGCCCAACATTCACCCAGGATCCGCTGCTTTCCTTCCTCCAGGTCCGGCACCCAGGAGGAGACGGTGCTGAAGAACCAGCTGCAGCTGTTGGACTCGACCCTCCTCGGCAAAGGGCTCGGACCGGCTGGCCTGAGTCGCCCAGCCTGGCTGGTCCTCAAGGCGGCAGCCTCTGCCCGCAAGCGAGCCCCTGCCCTGCCCACTGGGTCTCCACCGCCTGCCGCAAGGGCCAGAGAGGCTGGCCGGGCCCCGAGGGCACCGGGTGAGCGCCAGGAGGGAGGGAGGCTCTGGGCCGGGCCCAGAGGGTGGGGAGGGGGCTCGCGGGTTTTGTGGTCCCTTCATCCCAAGAGGCGGATTAGACTGGACCCAGAAGGGCTGCCAGGAGAGGTTAAGGTGGGAGCCAGTTTGGCCTAGTCCAGGGGTCCCCAACTCCCGGTCTGTGGACCGGTACCGGGCCGCACAAGCAAGCAAAGCCCCATCCGTGGGATGCAGGCAGCCCACACAACTACGCCCCCTCCGGTCCGTGGAATAACCTCTCTCCAAGGAACCGGTCCCTGGCGCCTAAAAGTTTGGGGACCTCTGGCCTGGTGGTTCAAGTGCTGGCCTAGAAGCCAGGAGACGGAGAGTTCGAGGCCCGCCTTAGGCACGAAAGCTGGCTGGGTGACTTTGGCACCGATAGGAGAGAATATTTGTGCAGGTAGCCCCCTACTTATGGCCACAATTGAGCCCCAAAATTTCCGAGCATTTGAATTTTGACCCCGTGACCGTGGGGGATGCTGCAACAGTCATAAGTGCCAAAAACGATCCTAAGTCATGTTTTTCAGTGGCGGGGTAACTTCGAACAGTCACTAAATGAACTCTTGTAAGTTGAAGGCTACTACAGGGTTGAACTGTGGGGTCCTGGGTGCTCTCTGAGCAGGGTGGTTTCCTTGCAGATGTGTCATAACCCAACTAGGGAACTGCATCAGTGCTAGAAGGGAGGAGGAGGAGGAGGAGGAGGAGGAGCAGGAAGGAAGGACTGTGGGTTCATTGGTGCTCTCTGAGCTGGGTGGTTTCCTTGCAGGCGTTTCATGACCCAACTAGGGAACGTCATCAGTGCTAGAAGGGAGGAAGGTTTGCAGAGAAAGGGAGGAAGAGGGGAAAAAAGGAGTAGGACGGATCTTCGGTGCTCTTTGAGTTTGTTCCCTTGCAGACATTTCATGACCCAACTAGGCAACATCTTCAGTGCTAGAAGGGAGGAGGGTTTGCAGAAAAGGAGGAGGAGGACTGTGGGGCCCTTGGTGCTCTCTGAGCTGGGTGGTTTTCTTGCAGATGTTTCATGACCCAACTAGGGAACATCCTCAGTGATAGAAGGGAGAGGAGGAGATGGTGGGGTCTTTGATGCTCTCTCAGCTGGGTGGTTTCCTTGCAGGTGTTTCATCACCCAACTAGGGAACATCATCAGTGCACTGATATTACCTAGTTTGGTAACGAAAAGTCTGCAAAAAGCCCACCCAGCTCACAGAGCCCCAGGGACTCCACCCTTAAAACTCCCTTTAGCCACCTCCGCTCTCTGCATCGCCTTTACCGTCCACTCTTCGAGGGTCAGTTTTTGTGCCTCACCCCGATGAGGTTTTTCGAGGTCACCTAAGGCCAGTCAGGTGCTGGGACCTCCGTTGGCCACTGGCTTACTAGATTTCTGGCACCTTTAGAAAGCCGGTGTGGTGGCCCCATCCTAATTGGCTCTGGGCAGCTCATACATTAGAAAGTGAAACTTCATATATACATATATATTTAAGAAAAAAACAGAAACCTGCAAACCAGAAGTCTGAAAATGAAAAGGGCTGGGAGAAAAACATCCTCCGCCGTAAGCGTGGCTCGCCTCCAATTAAGAGCCGAGCTGCGCCCGGCGGGACCCAGGAATCTCCCTGCAGATCATTCTTTCTGTCGTGGGATCTTGCAAATCACCCCGGTCTCCTCTGGTTGGTTGCTCTTTAACCGGCAAGCCGTTCCCGGGGGATTTATGTTGCCAGCATGTTTTATCCCCCCAGGGCCCAAAGAGGAGCCACAGGCGAGGAACGGCCGCTTGAAAACAAGGAGGAGACCTGGGTCGCAGCGCAGCGGCAGGAGGAGGTGAGGGGGCGAGGCTCTGCTCCTCTGACCCAGTTTGCTTTCTGATAGGCCTGTTGGGGATCACTCCCTGTAGTCCTCGGCTTACGACCACGTCGAGGCCTCCTGATTTTCCATGGCTAATCCAGGCGGTCATGGAGCGAAACCCGCCTGATTTTCTGCCGTGGTTGTTAAGGGAATCGCTGTGGTTGTTAAATGAATCGCACGGTCATTCAGCAAATCCATCTTCCTTCCCCCCCCCCTCCCATTGACTTTGCTTATCAGAAATGGGGAGGGGGTGAGGACTTTGTATTTGATTGGAATTCTGCCTTTAAGGAAAAAAATCCTTCCATCTTGAGGGGAGAGAGGCAGGCAGAGAATAGACCAGGAAAAACCCCGTGGCTAAAGCAGGACAATTGTTAAGAACGTTTTGCTCCACTTTACGACCTTCCTTGCCACAACTGCTAAGTCAGTGGTTCTCAACCTGTGGGTCGGGACCCCATTTGGGGTCGATCGACCATTTCACGGGGGTCGCCAAGCAAGGCTGTCTGCCATTTTTTTTGTCCACCATTTTTTTCCCCCTTTTCCGGCGGGTGCCTTACCTCCCTTGGGCTGGGCCCGCTGGTGGTCGGCCTGCTCCGTCTCTGCCGCTTGCCAGCTACGCCTCGGCCGGCGCAGGGGGCGGAACCACGCATGTGCGGCGCTCCCGGGCAGGGAAAGTCCTCGACTTACGACCGGTTGGGTAGTCCTCGACTTACGACCGGCTTAGTCCTCGACTTACGACCGGTTTAGTCCTCGACTTACGACCGGTTGGGGTCACGGCATTAAAAAGGTTGAGAACCACTGTGCTAAGTGAATCACTGCAGCTAAGTTAGCAACAGGGTCGTTAAGCAAACCGGCTTCCCTCATTGACTTTGCTGGTCAGATGGTCGCAAAAGGGGATCATGTGACCCCACCCGGGACTCTGCGACCGTCGTAAATATGAGTCGGTTCCCAAGCATCCGAATTTTGATCACGGGGATGCCGCAGCGGTCATAAGTATGAAAATGGTCATAAATCACTTTTGTCAGCACCGTCGTAACTCTGAGCTGTCCTTAAGCAAAGGGTTGCGTGCTGAGGACGGCCTGCAAAAGGGTTTTCTCTTCAGACCCAGGAACGGCTCACGAAGGGACGGGGGAGCCCGCAGCCAGCGAGGAAACCCACCAGCCTGGGAAAGTGACGAAGAGGAAGAAGAGGAGGAAGAAGAAGGGGAGAGCAAAGGAGGAGGAGCCGCGTTGGGCACCTGCCCAATCTGCGCAGGTGAACCAAATCCCAGGAAGTGGAAAACTCTGCAGGTGGTGAGGGCAGAGGAGACCCCTGTGTGCAGACCACACCAAAGATATTTGTGCTGGGCTCTGTGTGTGTGTGTGTGTGTGTGTGTGTGCGCCCCCTAGCACACCCACCTTTGTAATGCC